ATAGTGTAAACTTTATAGCCTAGTTTTATACAACTACAACCTCTCAAAACATGTGAGGGAGATTAATACATTCACATCTATATCCTTAAAGATTTACACTTGGAATTAGTTTTGACATTCTACTCCTTGTTTCACAAAATCAATTTCATACAAACTCAGTTAAAAATCACTGTATATATGCCTGGTGGTATCTGAGGATGAGTAATACTGCTAAACTATCATGAAAGTTCTATGAGCATAACTGGTACATTATTTACAAATATATACATTCTATGTTATATATTCTCCCAAGATGACCTGCATATTTCAACCTTCATCAGTCACCTCTTTGATTAGCATTCTAGAAGTTGAGGAAATGAAGAATGAGGACAATTTTATGGATATACAACTTCGATTTTCTGTACAGGCGACGTTTTGACGTATATGTCGTCGTCACCACTTGCTTGACAACAACATTAGAATCTATGTTGAAACGTTGCCTGTACAGAATAAAGAAGTTTTATATGCATACAATTGTCCTCAATGTTCATCAGTCAGTTACTCATTTAAATTTGTTCTTTTTGATGTAATTGATATTGTAGATGTACTTTGTGCAACAGTTTCACCCTCGTTAACATCTTGTATTGTATTGTGTACTGTGTGGGTGACATTCCTGTCAGTGCTCACAGCTAACGCTGTTGTATCGTCTACTAACCTAACCCACATATTGCTCCCTATCTGATAGAGTACATTGGAATCTTGGGATGAGATGGCTCTGCTTTCTTTGCATCACTTTATCAATGTTAAACTTTTAATGAAACTTATAATCGTATTGCAAAATGTGATGACTTGCTTCACCTTAATATATGTGAGATGTGATTGATATTTTTTCACATTTGCTATGGTATGTTCGTGTTGTGCTGTTATGAAGCACTGGTACAGAAGGAAGTTAAAGATCAGTGGAAACTATGTTTTATATTCCATTGTCTTCATTCTAAGTGATACCAACTCACAGCCATTTGCACTGCCTGACATGTCTCTGTTTGTCCTGAAGCACTGTTAACAGCATCGGTAATAGGTTGACCCAAAAATCTAATCTATATCCAAAAGTTTAAAATCTAGAATATAAAATAAATAGAAAACTTTGTTCCAGTATTCTGTACTTAGAAAGTGAGGGCTCAAAGTGGATGTGTAAACAGTGTGCAGGTGGTCGGAACATCCAGATAGGACTTGTATTGGATTGTTGACCACCAAAGAACATCCAGATAGTACTTGGATGCATGACCACCTGAGGACATCCAGATAGTACTTGGATTGTTGACCACCAAAGAACATCCAGATAGTACTTGGATATGTGACCACCTGAGGACATCCACATAGTACTTGGATTGTTGACCACCAAAGAACATCCAGATAGTACTTGGATGGGTGACCACCTGAGGACATCCACATAGTACTTGGATTGTTGACCACCAAAGAACATCCAGATAGTACTTGGATGCATGACCACCTGAGGACTGCCAGATAGTACTTGGATGCATGACCACCTGAGGACATCCACATAGTACTTGGATTGTTGACCACCTGAGGACATCCACATAGTACTTGGATGCATGACCACCTGAGGAAATCCACATAGTACTTGGATTGTTGACCACTAAAGAACATCCAGATAGTACTTGCATGGTTGACCAATATAGAACATCCAGATAGTACTTGGATGCATGACCACCTGAGGACATCCAGATAGTACTTGGATTGTTGACCACCAAAGAACATCCAGATAGTACTTGGATGCATGACCACCTGAGGACATCCACATAGTACTTGGATTGTTGACCACTAAAGAACATCCAGATAGTACTTGCATGGTTGACCAATATAGAACACCCAGATAGTACTTGGATGCATGACCACCTGAGGACATCCAGATAGTACTTGGATGGGTGACCACCTGAGGACATCCAGATAGTACTTGGATGCATGACCACCTGAGGACATCCAGATAGTACTTGGATTGTTGACCACCTGAGGACATCCACATAGTACTTGGATTGTTGACCACCAAAGAACATCCAGATAGTACTTGGATGCATGACCACCTGAGGACATCCAGATAGTACTTGGATTGTTGACCACCAAAGAACATCCAGATAGTACTTGGATGGGTGACCACCTGAGGACACCCAGATAGTACTTGGATGGGTGACCACCTGAGGACATCCAGATAGTACTTGGATTGTTGACCACCAAAGAACATCCAGATAGTACTTGGATGGGTGACCACCTGAGGACACCCAGATAGTACTTGGATGGGTGACCACCTGAGGACATCCAGATAGTACTTGGATTGTTGACCACCAAAGAACATCCAGATAGTACTTGGATGCATGACCACCTGAGGACATCCAGATAGTATTTGGATGCATGACCACCTGAGGACATCCAGATAGTACTTGGATTGTTGACCACCAAAGAACATCCAGATAGAACTTGGATGCATGACCACCAGAGGACATCCTGATAGTACTTGGATTGTTGACCACCAAAGAACATCCAGATAGTTCTTGGATGGGTGACCACCTGAGGACATCCAGATAGTACTTGGATGGGTGACCACCTGAGGACATCCAGATAGTACTTGGATTGTTGACCACCAAAGAACATCCAGATAGTACTTGGATGCATGACCACCAAAGAACATCCAGATAGTACTTGGATGCATGACCACCTGAGGACATCCAGATGGTACTTGGATTGTTGACCACCAAAGAACATCCAGATAGTACTTGGATGCATGACCACCTGAGGACATCCTGATAGTACTTGGATTGTTGACCACCAAAGAACATCCAGATAGTACTTGGATGGGTGACCACCTGAGGACATCCAGATAGTACTTGGATGCATGACCACCTGAGGACATCCAGATAGTACTTGGATTGTTGACCACCTGAGGACATCCAGATAGTACTTGGATTGTTGACCACCTGAGGACATCCACATAGTACTTGGATGCATGACCACCTGAGGAAATCCACATAGTACTTGGATTGTTGACCACTAAAGACCATCCAGATAGTACTTGCATGGTTGACCAATATAGAACATCCAGATAGTACTTGGATGCATGACCACCTGAGGACATCCAGATAGTACTTGGATTGTTGACCACCAAAGAACATCCAGATAGTACTTGGATGCATGACCACCTGAGGACATCCTGATAGTACTTGGATTGTTGACCACCAAAGAACATCCAGATAGTACTTGGATGGGTGACCACCTGAGAACATCCAGATAGTACTTGGATGGGTGACCACCTGAGGACATCCAGATAGTACTTGGATTGTTGACCACCAAAGAACATCCAGATAGTACTTGGATGGGTGACCACCTGAGGACATCCAGATAGTACTTGGATGGGTGACCTCCTGAGGACATCCAGATAGTACTTGGATGCATGACCACCTGAGGACATCCAGATAGTACTTGGATTGTTGACCACCAAAGAACATCCAGATAGTACTTGGATGCATGACCACCTGAGGACATCCACATAGTACTTGGATTGTTGACCACCAAAGAACATCCAGATAGTACTTGGATGCATGACCTCCTGAGGACATCCAGATAGTACTTGGATGCATGACCACCTGAGGACATCCACATAGTACTTGGATTGTTGACCACTAAAGAACATCCAGATAGTACTTGCATGGTTGACCAATATAGAACATCCAGATAGCTCATTGATGGATGGACCACCTTAAAGATGAACCACCTAAAAGATATCTGATAATATTTGGACACCTGAGACTTCCACCTCTTCCACTTAGTTCTTTCTCCTAATCTTTGGCTCTGGAGCTGAACTCAATTCTCCTTTCTTCATGGCCATCATGACCTGAAGCTTGGTTCAGAAATGCCATATCCTGATCCTAATTCACTCAAGCCATCTTAATGCTAAGACAGTTGTAACTGCTTGAGCTTAATATTGGCATCCGACAGATCTAAGTGCTAAGATCATGTACTCAGAGTCTGGAAGACAGTTAAAGATGTGTGATGAAGATAACATGCATCTAATGAATATTAGAAAAAATCTATGGTATATGTTACATGTTTAACATTTTCTGCACTTTTTTAACATATAAACACTGTAATGTTTATTCTGTGTAATTAAGTACCATCATGACCTTATTATTGTAACACTGTTCAATACATCCTGTCAGCAAGTGATAAATTACTGTCGTGCTGTGTAACTTCCGTACCATTTAGTTCTTTTGGAAACACTCATTTTGCAGCATGGTATTTGAGTCATATTTGGATATTCCCTCATATTCCTGTTGTTACAGTTCTGGGCCCTGTTCCTGAAAGCGATCGTAGCGCTATTATGATCGTAACTCCCATACTTTAACACAGACTTACGACTGTCGTAGCTCTACGATCGCTTTGAGGAACGGGGTCCTGATCATGAAATTCAATGTAAATATTTGGCTTTAGTTATTGAGTCATCGATTTGGCTTGGAAATCAATTTGTACAATCATTCTCTAAGAAAAGGAGTATAATAATGAGCGCTAACAAGTTCGGATATGTACTGAAGTTTATATGTCCATGTGTGTTCTCTGCAGGATTAAATTTAACCTGAAATTTTGCTACCAAATATAGAATGTAATATTATGAAATATATAATGGTAGCCATTTATGATGGTATTTTGAAATTGAAGGAGACACATTATCCCAGATGATAGTTAAACCAGTAATTTTAGTTTCATGTCATAAGGAACAACCATGAATAGTAATGTAGATATACATCAAAATAATTGGATCTATTTTTGAATTACTTTAAATTAAACCAAAAATGATAAGTTTTATTAAGTGCTGCTTTTAATTGAATGAAGACATTGCACAAAGATTTTTAATGATGATATGTCATATATATTGACATTTAAATTGTCATTTGGATGCCACTAATGCACTGCTATGATATGCGAGTGTTGATATGTGTTGTGGGTGTTTACAGGAAGGCGTTCCGAGCTTATGAGGAGAGTTGGGACCGTCGGCTGCAGCTGCTGTGCTGCTGTGTGGAACGCAAGGGCAGAAACAGGGTAGGTGTTCCAAGGAGGAAAGTCATGTCGTAAGAGTAACTTGACCAAATAGTATGGCTTCCTTCAAAATATTAGCTCCTGATGACAAATCTGTGGTTTGTTTTTTTACTTTGAAGCGTCACACTACCTTGTGTCAGACTTATGTTTGGTCCTATTGTATATGTTCTTTATCATCAGATTTGTAGCAAACTTCAGATAGCTCAAAGTATTTTTATAGGTCCCTTCAACCTTGACAAAATGGTTTGTTTGACTGTAGATTCCAAAAGGCCTTTGACGTCCATTTGACAAAACCTTTCACTGTGTTTTAGTTGTATCAGAAAAACTTCATTTGTATTTCCGCATTCCACAGATTGTCATGAGAGTGGTTGTCTTAAATGACTGACTGACTGAGTTTGGTTTTACACCGCTTTTAGTAATATTCCAGCAACATCACGGCGGGGGACACCAGAAATGGGCTTCACACATTGTACCCATGTGGGGATTCGAACCCGGGTCTTCAGTGTGACGAGCCAACGCTTTAACCACTAGGCTACCCCACCGCCCCTTGTCTTAAATGAAGTTATTGATTTATCATGTCATGTCTTCAGTGACCCAGCTGTTTGAGCACATGAGAAAGAGGATGCAAAGGACAATGATTGAAAATTATTATATACTCATGGAAACAAATAAGGGAACACATGAGCATACCTATGTTCCTTTTTTCATTTCCAGAATTTCACCCACTGTGCAATACATACCTTGTGAAGAAACCTTCAAAACAATAAAGGAACACTTGTACTTTCATATGTTCCCTTATTTATTTCCATGGGTATATAATTTTTTTATGCACAAAATTATTAATTAGCATTTCAGACTCAAAATACTTAAGACTGACTGAGTTTGGTTTTACGCCGCTTTTAGCAATATTCCAGCAACATCACGGCAGGGGACACCAGAAATGGGCTTCACACATTGTGCCCATGTGGGGATTCGAACCCGGGTCTTCGGCGTGACGAGCCAACGCTTTAACCACTAGGCTACCCCACCGCCCCGCAAAATACTTAAGAACACATCATGAACACACATTAAAACAAGTCATGTTTATGTATAAATGTGTTTGTCTGATATCTGACAGCTTGCTGCAAGTGGAATCCAATGAAGGTCATCTTGAGGTGACTTTATTAAATTGTTTGTTCTACTCCCTGTCCATTTTGTGTGAAAATCAAATCTGGTTATAAATCTTTGGCTTACATTTGGTTCGAGGTTACTTGAGTCAGTGTCATGTGACATGGTATGACATTTTGTGACAGTATGTGAAAGGTCAAGGTTGCACTGTGAGTTCAACTCCCTGGCAAATTTGGAATAAAGTGGGGACTTTGGGTAGATGATACATACCTTTAAGGTTAAGAGTTTAAGTGATAAACTTTGAAGATCACATGTTATTTGAGAGCCATGGCATTGAGATTATGATACGTTTCTTTAAGGTTGAGATTTTAAGTGATAAACTTTGAAGATCATGTGTTATTAGAGAGCCATCATTGAGATTAAAGGGAGAGAGAAGGACGTTTCTGGTTCTGCATGTGATGGAAGTACCTTCTTCTGGTGTGACTAATTAGAAGTCACAATTAGAACTTTTTGATTGATTGACATTAGCATGCTTTAATATTCCGTCTAAATAAGATTTGGAACTGAACTCTCTGAACAGGAAGTTTCCTTTGATCCACACCAAGCCTTCAGGAAAAAGCAATTAAAGATTTAACAGAATCTGCCACGGATGCATTGATTTTGTAGATATTGTCTGAAACGACTGCTTCGACTGTTACATTAGGGAGGTCTGATTTGTCCGAGACATGTTTGCTTGAATACCTATCCGGGTCTGGGATTGGTGGCTGTTGTTAAAGGGGCAACAATGGAATTGTGTTGTTATTCACAAGTTGAAATGTAACCCTTCTGATGGGTGTGTGACTGATGCTGAACTCCATGATGACTCCATCAATCTGGACCAGGCAAACCCGTGATTGAAAGCATAAGTGTGTGAATGTTATTTATGTCTCGGTCAGTAATCTTGCAGCTGTATCATCTGTGGCCTGAACATGATGAAAGGTGGACCATCAAACCAGTGATTGAAAGCATGAGTGTGTGAATGTTATTTATGTCTCGGTCGATAATCTTGCAGCTGTATCATCTGTGGCCTGAACATGATGAAAGGTGGACCATCAAACCAGTGATTGAAAGCATGAGTGTGTGAATGTTATTTATGTCTCGGTCAGTAATCTTGCAGCTGTATCATCTGTGGCCTGAACATGATGAAAGGTGGACCATCAAACCAGCGATTGAAAGCATGAGTGTGTGAATGTTATTTATGTCTCGGTCAGTAATCTTGCAGCTGTATCATCTGTGGCCTGAACATGATGAAAGGTGGACCATCAAACCAGTGATTGAAAGCATGAGTGTGTGAATGTTATTTATGTCTCGGTTGATAATCTTGCAGCTGTATCATCTGTGGCCTGAACATGATGAAAGGTGAGCCATCAAACCAGTGATTGAAAGCATGAGTGTGTGAATGTTATTTATGTCTCGGTCGATAATCTTGCAGCTGTATCATCTGTGGCCTGAACATGATGAAAGGTGGACCATCAAACCAGTGATTGAAAGCATGAGTGTGTGAATGTTATTTATGTCTCGGTCGATAATCTTGCAGCTGTATCATCTGTGGCCTGAATATGATGAAAGGTGGACCATCAAACCAATGATTGAAAGCATGAGTGTGTGAATGTTATTTATGTCTCGGTCGATAATCTTGCAGCTGTATCATCTGTGGCCTGAATATGATGAAAGATGGACCATCAAACCAGTGATTGAAAGCATGAGTGTGTAAATGTTATTTATGTCTCGGTCAATGCTGGCAGCTGTATCATCTGTGGCCTGAACATGGTGAAAGGTGGACCATCAAACCAGTGATTGAAAGCATGAGTGTGTGAATGTTATTTATGTCTCGGTCGATAATCTTGCAGCTGTATCATCTGTGGCCTAAACATGATGAAAGGTGGACCATCAAACCAGTGATTGAAAGCATGAGTGTGTGAATGTTATTTATGTCTCGGTCGATAATCTTGCAGCTGTATCATCTGTGGCCTGAACATGATGAAAGGTGAGCCATCAAACCAGTGATTGAAAGCATGAGTGTGTGAATGTTATTTATGTCTCGGTCGATAATCTTGCAGCTGTATCATCTGTGGCCTGAACATGATGAAAGGTGGACCATCAAACCAGTGATTGAAAGCATGAGTGTGTGAATGTTATTTATGTCTTGGTCAGTAATCTTGCAGCTGTATCATCTGTGGCCTGAACATGATGAAAGGTGGGCCATCAAACCAGTGATGTTTCCCTTGCGCGAATGTTTTTAATATTGTGATCAACCAAATTCAGCTGTTTCATATTTGGACTGTATTTATTCAAAGTTGGACCAGGCAATCAAATGAGCAAGTTAACACATCATACAGTATTCCTGTTGTGTCATGGCAGCTTGTAGACAAACACAAGCAGTGATCAACACCATCGGTGACATTCAACCGAGTAACCTGGCCACCTTGTTCACTGTGTTCGCCTCTTATAGCAAACAGCGGATTGCATGGAACGTATTCTGAAACTTTCAGATATTAGGCACCTGTTGCCATTCAACAATAGATTTAGAATATTGATTGCTCAAGATGAAAGTTGACACTCCATAAGAAGTATAAGATCTATTATTAGTGTTATTTATTCACCTAGTCGAGACGGCGGGGTAGCCTAGTGGTTAAAGCGTTGGCTCGTCACGCTGAAGACCCGGGTTCGATTCCCCACATGGGCACAATGTGTGAAGCTCATTTCTGGTGTCCCCCGCCTTGATATTGCTGGAATATTGCTAAAAGCGGCGTAAAACTAAACTCAGTCAGTCAGTCAGTCAGTCAGTATTCACCTAGTCAACAGATCAGGTTGAAGCTGGCGTGTTCCATATATTCTAAAGTTTTATTAGCAAGAGTCAAGTTCCATCTGCAATAACCAACAGCTTCGAGGTTGTAAGTCCCGTGGTAATGACTTAAAGAGCAGACCATATGTTAGTGTACTTAAGAGTGAGTGAGTATGGTTTTACGCCACTTCAGTAACATTTCAGCAATATCACAGTGGAGGACACAATTGTATCCATGTGGGACTTGGACCACCAGGCTACACCACTGCTCATGTTGTTTAGATCATGTTAAGCTGTCGTGCCTCTGTACATTTGTCAAATATGGAGGCAGTCGCGGACAAGGACTAATGGACAGTCACACTTGTCCGGTCAAGAGACTGTCTCAGACTAGTCACTGTCATGCCCTCTTACATGGACTTCATCATTCTCTGATCACCAGACTTGAAAGAGTCCAGAACATGGCTGCCAGTATAATCAGTCGTACAAGGAAACCTGACTACTTCACCTCTCTGCCTTGCTGGCTGCCACTCAAATACAGAATCCAGTTCAAGATTTTGACTCTTTTATTCAAGGAAAAGACTTGACTAGCACTCAGTTAGCCCTATATGAACACATTCCATCCAGGGCCCCATTCCACAAAGCGATCATAGCGCTACGACAGTCGTAAGTCTATGTTGAAGTATGGGAGTTACGATCACCTTAGCGCTTCAATCCCTTTGTGAAACGTGGCCATGATCTCTAAGATTAGGTCAACAGCATCTGTCTTCCATACAAAAATCATGCACTAACACCTTTGGGGAATCAAGCCGTACTGTGGAACGATCTTCCAGATTGTCTCTGATGTATTTAAGAATAACTTAGCTAAAGACACACTTCTTCAGCTAAGACTGTGGTTGAACCACATCACAGAGACCTTCTTTCCAGTGCACCTGTGAGCATGTATTGCTATCTGGAGACAGACGCTCTACAAATTATACTACTGCTGCTACCCCTACTACTACTACTACTACTACTACTACTACTACTACTACTACTACTACTACTACTACTACTACTACTACTACTACTACTA